AACTTTCTAGGAAAATTAGGATTCAATGAACTCTACTTAAAGAATAAAAAGAATAAAATACATTTGTTGTTGAAATACTTAAGATATTTCAACTAATTAAAGAACAAGGCAAAAATGTCCCTCTAACCACTCAACACAGGACTGAAGACTTAGTTATTCTCCTGTCCTACAGATGATGATAAAACCCAGGAGTCACTATTAAAGTGATTCAAGAGATTAATAATAGAAAAATTTGACAAGGTAGCTGACAAGATAAATATACAAAATAACAGTGTAATAACTAGGAAACAAAAATGGATGAGTAGCTTGTTCAGAATGAAAAACACCTAAGAATAAACCTAAGAGAATTATTAATGAGGAAAATTATTAAAACTTATGGGATATAAAGAAAATGACTTCAATAAGTATCATATTTTAAATTTAAAAAAAAGACTTTGTGGGCCAGGCTTGGTAGTTCACGCCTGTAGTCCCAGCACTTTGGGAGGCCAAGGTGGACGGATCATGAGGTCAAGAGATCGAGATCATCTTGGCCAACATGGTGAAACCTCGTCTCTACTAAAAATGCAAAAATTACCTGGGCATGGTGGCGTGCACCTACAGTCTGAGCTACTTTGTAGGCTGAGGCAAGAGAATTGCTTGAACCTGGGAGGCAAAGGTTGCGGTGAGCCGAGATTGCGCCACTGCATTCCAGCCTGGCGACAGAGTGAGACTTTGTCTCAAAAAATAATAATAATAATAATACAAATAAAGTCCAAGGGTCTTCCCAACTTACAAGGCAAATTTACTGTAATTCCAGTTTGCATTCCAGTGGGCAGGATTATTTGGGATTTTCTTGGGTGGAGGTAGGGATCAGAGGGAATGTATAAAAATGTAAATTGGCTGGACATGGTGGCTCACACCTGTAATCCCAGCACTTTGGGACACTGAGATCAGTGGATCACAAAGTCAGGAGTTCAAGACCAGCCTAGCAAATAGAAAGAAACCCCATCTCTACCAAAAACACTAAAGTTAGCCCGGCATGGTGGCAGGCACCTGTACTCCCAGCTACTAGGAACGCTGAGACAGGAGTCACTTGAACCTGGGAGGCAGAGGTCGCATCATTACATTCCAGCCTGAGCAACAGAGTGAGACTCTGTCTTAAAAAAATAAAGTTTTTAAAAATAAAATTTTGTGTACTAAGGTATACTTATATACAGTAAAATACATAAATCTTAAGTTATACCTTGATTAATTTTTATAAATACATACACCTGTGTAACCAAAACCAAGATGAAGATATAAAACATTTCCAGAACTAAAACAGGCTCCCTTATGTTGCCTTCCTATCAGTAACCATCCCCAGCACAAAGGGTAATTATTATACTAACGCATATGACCATGAATTAGTTTCACATGATATTAAAACTCACATAAATAGTATCATCTTTTGTTTTTTCTTTCAAGCAAAGTTGTATGAGAAAGATTCAGCTGCACTATTATGTGTATTAGTAATACCTTTTTTATATTGCTGAATATTATTTCATTGTATGAATATACTACAATTTATTACCCATTTTACTGTTAAGGAATATAAGTAGTCTTTCCAGTTTAGGGCTATCACAAATAAAACTGTTATGTATATACATTTTGATGAACATAAACATTCTTTTCTGTATTACACACCCAAGAGCAGGATTTGTTAACACAAAATATACACACACATCAAGGCTTAGCAGATAATGCCAAACAATTTCTCAAAACAAGTGTAATAAATCACACTTCCACCAGTAATGTATGAGACCCATCAAGATGTGAGATTTTCAGGTGCTCCACATCCTCACCAAGACTAGGTATTGTCAGTTCTTTTAATTTAGCCCATTCTGACTGAGCATATCCCTTCTTTAATGACCTTCCATTGGGGAGAACCACTTTTCTTCCTCCAAGTGAATGAGATGACTTTTCTATACATAATACTGTTTCCCTGTCTCATCATGTTAGCGTCTGGGAGGTTTTGTTTTTAAAGTAAAGAGAAAACTAGAAAGAAGATTATGGTGGTAAGAGAGTGTCAAGAAGAAAAGAACAGCATGGTATCTGTGCAAGGTTCAGCTCTGCTGAATAATGTGTCAGGCCCTGTAAGCTCAAAATAACGGTGAGAACTGGAAGCGAATAGAGTAGATCAAGAGCAACTTTTAGACTCAGCACTGAAGCAGAAATGCTTTCAACCTAGGTAACAAAGTGTGGCACAAAACTGAAGAAGTGATTTTCTCACTTTTACAGGGGGCCCAGTAATGTAAAGGTAGTCTGAGTAGAATCTTTAATTCCCAAAGTAATTTTACGAATTTATACTCCCATAAGTTACATATGAAGAGCTCAAAACATTCCAAGACTAGTACACAGTAACCTGCATTAGAAATATTGAAACTTTGGACCAAGTGTGGTGGTGCACACCTGTAATCCCAGCACTTTGGGAAACCGAGGTGAGCAGATTGCTTCAGCACAGGAGTTTGAGAAAAATGTGGGCAGCATGGTGAAACCCTGTCTCTACAAAAAATAAAAAAATTAGCCAGAGTGGTGGTGCATGCCTGTAGTCACATCTACTTTGCAGGCTGAGATCAGAGGATCACTTGAGCCTGGAAGGTCAAGGCTATGGTATGCCAAGATGGTACCACTACATACCAGTCTGAGCGACAGGGCCAGACCCTGTCAAAAACAAAAACAAAACAAAATAAAACAAAACCAATCAACAAACAAACAAAAACTTGGGGTCAGGCACAGTTGCTTGCACCTGTAATCCTGACAATTTGGAAAGCCAAGGCAGGAGGATGACTTGAGGCCAAGAGTTCAAGACCAGTCTGGGCAACACAGAGACCCTCATCTCTACAAAAAACAAACAAACAAAAATATTAGTCAGGAATGGTGGCATATGCCTACAGTCCAAGCCACTTTAGAAGCTGAGACAGGAGGATCACTTTAGTCCAGGAGTTTGAGGTTACAGTGAACTATGATCATGCTCCCACACTCTAACCTGGGCGACAGAGTGAAACTCTATCTCTAAAATAAATAAATAATCCTAGGCATGGTGGCTCACACCTGTAATACCAACACTTTAGGAGGCCAACATGGGTGGATCACTTGAAGTCAGGAGTTCCAGACCAGCCCGGCCAACATGGTGAAACCTTGCCTCTATTAAAAAGACAAAGACAGACAGACAGATAGACACAGACACAGACACAGACACAGACACAGACACAGACACAGACACAGACACAGACACAGACACAGACACAGACACACACACACACCCCAGGAGGGTAAGATGGGTGGATAACTTTCACTTGAGGTCAGGAGTTCCAGACCAGCCTGGCCAACATGGTGAAACCTCTACTACCAACACACACACACACACACACACACACACACACACGCACGCACGGTGGTGTGTGCCTATAATCCCAGTTACTTAGGAGGCTAGGGCACGAGAATCATTTCAGCTGGGTGGCAGAGGTTGCAGTCAGCCAAGATGGCACCACTGCACTCCAGTCTAGGCAACAGAGCGAGACTCTGTTTCAAATAAATTAAAATAAAATAAATAAATATTAAAACTTGTTATAAAAGATCTGAAAAACAATAAGAAATAGTAAACAAGGTTGGGTATCATGGCCCATTCCCGTAAACCCAGCACTTTGGGAGGCCGAGGCAGGCAGATCACTTCAGCCCAGGAGTTTGGGACCAGCCTGGAAAACATAGCAAAACCCACTTCTACCAAAAATCCACAAACTACTCAGGGGTGGCGGTGTGCACCTGTGGTCCCAGCTACTTGGGAGGCTGAGGTGGGAAGATCACTTAAGCCCAGGATGTGGAGGTTCAGGTTGAGGCTGTAGTGACCTGAGTGTGCCACTGCACTTCAGCCCGGGTGACACAGCAAGCCTGTTTCCAAAA